AAGGGGCCCCAGCAGAAGCCGCAGGAGGGGGGGGAGCGGAGTGGGCGGCCTCCGCTGTCCCTCGCGCTGCAGCGGCCGGTGGGGGCTGCACGTCGGGCACGGGAGTGGGAGCATGTCGCTCGGCGGGATGAAGCTCGAGTTGACCAGCTCGAAAGCGCCCCAACAAAGTATAGAAAAATAAAGCCAACGAAAAAAGAATTCTTAAAATACAAGCCTCTCTCACAGCACGCTGGCACGACAGGGGCGCGGACTGGCGCGGACTGGCACGAAAAAAAGAAAAATCACGGCGAGCGGCATCAGTGAGGCCAGCTCACGCATTCGCTCGCCGGCTGTCACGGGCATGCAGCACGCTCGCCGATAGCCACACCGCAGCCGACGGCATCGCCAACGCCCTTCGCTCGGACCCGCACCTGCTGGATCGGGTACTCTCCGAAGGAGGCTCTGAGCTGCGGCGCCGAGTCCTTGCAACCAGGCTCCTCGCTCCCACTCCACCTGCCCTGGCCTATTCTTGCTCTGCTGGCTGACCGCCACGCTCACACCTGATCTGCATGCACAGCCTGCGGACGACTACGGGAGACGAGCTGCTCAACGTCATCGACGCCTTTGCGAGCGCCGACCTCATGTGATGTGCGTCACATCCGACGACTGCAAGCCCATGGAGAAGTCACAGGGCACGGTGAAAGACCGGCGCTACATCTGTGCCGACGGGACTACACAGGCGCCGTCAAATCCAGGTCTACCCCGCGGAGTATCCCTTCCCTCTTTCCATCCCGTGCGACCACGACCTATTGCGCTCCACCCCGTCCTCTCACTCTTGCGATATTACACTGCTCACCTGTAGCGCCCGGCGACGGCGGCGGCGGTGGAGGCCAAGGTCTTCGGCGCCCTCAGCAATAGGAACCTGGCTAGAACATGAAGTTCAGACCAACAACACACGGCCCGCGATGGTTCCACCGATCCAGCGCGGCCCGGCGACGGGCCGACGTTCGCGCGCGCCTCGGCCACCGCACCGACGCACTGCGAACCGTCCCAAACCTCGAGCAGCGCCGCGTAGCTCCTGTTCGCCGCGAATGCATCGCCAAGTGCCTTTTTGGCGCGAGCGAGCCCAAGCAGGCACAACGGCATCTGCGGCTTGGCCGACGGCGCAAGGCACGCGCCGAAGGCGTCGGCGGCGTCGGCGGCCCCGTCGCCGTCATTGCTACTGCTGCGCATCATGAGCAGCAGCGCGCCGTGTAGCGCGACGGCGGGCAGGGAGAGGAGTGTCGTCGACGACGGCCGCAATAGAACGCGGTTGGCGTGCTCCTCAAGCTTGCGCGCCGCCGCTGCCGCCGCAAGTGCAGCCGCCGCGTCACCGCGCGTCAGGTTGACCATCGCCCGAACCTGCAGCGCGAGGACCGCCGCGCCCGCTGCCTCGTAGGCGTGGCCCGTGCCGATGTAGTGCGCCTCGGCGACGCCGATGACTTCGAGCGCGAGCGCGACGCGTTCGGCGATGCAACCGTCAGCCGAACTGCACACACTTGTGATTGGCTCGTCGTCAGGCACGTAGGGCAGCGGCACGCCGCGCTGGTGGATGCGCATCAGCGCGCCCATCGCGGCGGCGTGATGCCAGCTCGCCTCGGAGAAGGGCGAGTAGAAAGAGTGGTCCGAGACGGTGCGCCCCGACCACGAGAGCGGCGGCGGCACAGCCTCCGACGGTAGCGAACGCCAGTCGAGCGCCGTCTCAAGCGGCGGCGCCGCGTTCCCCATCAGCTCGGTGAGTAGCGGCCACAACGCCTGCCGCGCGCGCATCCGCATCTGCCACTGCAGGTAGGCGGTCGCGTTGTACCACGCGCCACCCAAGTCGCCAGCGAAGGCGTCGGGCGCTGCCGCCGAGTCCGGCTCGCCCTCGGGCAGCAACCGCAACGCTTGCCCCGCCGCATAGCCCATGCGCGTCAGCCGATCGCGCGCATCGTCGATCTTGCACTGTTGCAGCAGCTCGTACGCCTCGAACTCGAGCGAGTGGTACAAGTTGCCGGCGTTGAAGGCGAATCCGAAGCCGCGGCTCGTGTTGATCAGCCCGCCGCGGTCGCCCAGTGCACCGGGCAGCCGCGCAAACGCGTCCGCTGCCGCAACGGACGCGCCATTGGCGGCGGCGGCATCGCGCCACTGGCCGGCGCGGTCAGAAATGTGGCTGGGCATGTGCAGCGAGTGGCAGGCGTCGCGCACCGTGGCGGGATACTGACGCGCATACTCGAGGCCGTCGTTGTACACGCTGCCGTTCGGATAGTCGTGAGCGTGCATGCCGTAGTGTATCGTCCCAGGGAAGTTCCTGTTGCGTGCATAGGCGGCCGCTGCCAGCTCGCGTGCCTGCTGGGCGTAGGCGTCGCACTCAGGCCCACCGACAGAGGCGCACGAGCCGACCGAGCCGAGCGCGAGCGTGGCGAAGGGCACGAACGAGCCGGCGGTCGGATCGTCAGGGAACGCCCCCGCGAGGGCGCTCACTGCTGCGCGGTATGCTGCGAAACGGGCCGCGCGGGTGGCGGCGACCGCGTCGTCGGTGGTCGGCGGGGTGGGCTCGCCGTTGAGGACCTGCACCGAGGCAAAATACCGGCGCTCGCGTTCGGTCATGTTGCCCGGGAAGTCGTCGCGCGCCGCCTGGCGGCGCAGCACGGCGAGCGACCCGTTGACATCCTCGGCGTTCCAGATGAGCTGCGCGTTGCACAGAGCACGCCCCCACGCAGCCATGTGAAGTGATGGGTCGGCGGCGAGCGCTGCATCGAAGGAATATATGCACATGTCGTAAAAAAGTTGTGGAGCGCCTTAAGGCCAAGTACGAAGCGTGCCTCAGCCGTCGGGTTGCTTGCAGTCACGTGGAAGGGGCGGATGTCGCCCAGCGCCGACGTCGGGCAGTCCGCGAGCAGCGTGACCTCCCACGGCTCGAGGTTCGGCGCCTGCAGCAGCGGAGACTCGACGCACGACGCGGCGACGATGGGGAGGTGGAGCGCGAGCATCTCAAGGTATATGGCTCTCCAGAGCGAGGCGTCGGACGGCAGCCTTCTCGGCTTTTTTGGGCTGGGACGAGCGGGACGAGCTTCGCGATTGCGACCACGCCACCAGCTGCAGTGGCTCCTCCTTGGCATGCCGCACACACACACACACACCGCACCGCACTCCGCGCTCGCACGCCCCCCGCCCCGCCTAGGTGGGAAACAGATGAGGAGATGGAACAGCCCTCGGACTGGACACCAACGCGGTATGGGTGGACGCGAGACAGATGATGACGACACGCACGAGCAACACACAGACACAAACAAGCTCACAAGACACACAGCCAGCGTGGCTGCCACACACCCTGAGTTGGCGTACACATAACTCAAGGCCGCGCCCCCCCTGTCGCCCCCCCCAGCACTCCAAGGTGCCAAAGGAGTGTTGCAGGGCGTAGCGGCGACTAAAAAGAAGAAATCGGCCGGCGCAAGCTCGGTAAAACGGGCCAACCAGGTGACACAGCTAGATGCGATACCTGATGCCATTCCTCGATTTTCTTTTCCCTTACTCGAGTACCCGAGGCTCTTAGGCAGGCTTGGGTACTGGTGGGACGGGGGCGGGGGAGGCGGTAGGGGTGGGGGCGGGGGCGGGGGTGGGGGTGGAGGGTGGGGGATTGGAGATGTGTGAGATTTGCCCGAGATTGCCCGAGATTTTCTCATAACCCTACCCGCCCGCTCACCGCATCCCGAATCTCGCCGCCACGCGCCGGCTCGTCCTTCGGGAAGACCCAACCAAATGCACTTGCTTGCGACTTGGAGCACTTGGAGTGCAGTTGGTAACCGCACAACAACCAAGTGCGGTTGGCAAGTTGATGAGCTCTTCAAGCCCACCGTTGACGACCCAAGTAAAGAACAAAAATTCTTCTTTCCGAGAAGCAGCGACACCGATTCGCACAGACATGCGGCAGGATCATGTCGCCACCCTCGCCACCCTCGTCGCACTGCTGATCTCGCTGCCCTCCGCCGCTGGCTTCGGCCTCGCACCCGCGCATGCGCCTCCGCTGCGGCTGCGCGCGCCGGCCGTCCGGGCTTGCGCACCGGCTTCGGAAGAGGTGGATGTCGTCTGGTCGGTGCAGGCCTCGGCGGCCTGTCTTGCGCCGGCCTGCTCGCGTCGCAGGGTCTCAAGGTCGCGGTGCTGGAGTCGCACTACGAGATTGGCGGCTGCGCGCACGAGTTCAACGTCAACATGGACGGCAAGCCGGTCCCGTCGGAGCTGCTGGCCAAGAAGCCGCAGCCGGTCTTCAAGTTCGAGGCGGGCCCGTCGCTGTACAGCGGCCTGAGCGCGGACGCGAGCCCGAACCCGCTCAAGCACATCTTCCAGATGGTTGGCGAGGAGCCCGAGTGGATCAACTATGACACTTGGGGCGCGCACCTACCCGAGGTTCCCGAAGGGTACGAGCTCTCCATAGGCGCCGAGAACTTCATGGAGATCCTGCGCCGGTACGGCGGCCCGACGGCAAGGGAGGACTGGGACAGGCTCGCGGAGCAGCTGATGCCGCTGACCAAGGGCGTCACCGCGCTGCCCTCGACTGCGGTGCGCGGCGACGCGGGCGTGCTGCTCACGCTTGGCGCGCGCTACCCGCGAGCCTTCCTCGACGTGATCCTCAACGCGCAGAAGATCACCGCCCCCTTCGACCTGGAGGCGTACGGCGTGCGCGACCCCTTCCTCAAGAACTACCTCGACCTGATCGCCTTCTTGCTGCAGGGGCTGCCCTCGAACGGCACTCTGACCGCCGTGATGGCCTTCATGGTGGACGAGTTTTACAAGCCGGACGCGGTGATGGACTTTCCAAAGGGCGGGAGCGGGGCGATGGCGGCGGCGCTGGCGCGCGGAGTGACCAAGCACGCCGGCTGCTCCGTGCGCACCTCGACGCCCGTCGAGGAGGTTGTGGTGGAGGAGGGGCGCGCGGCCGGCGTCCGCCTCAAGGGCGGCGGGCTGCTGCGAACCCGTGACACGCCCGCGACCTGTCCAGGACATGTCCAGGACACGTCCCGCAGGCGGCAGGCTGCTCCGCGCCAAGCGCGCCGTCGTCTCAAACGCCGACGCGCAGAGCGGCCTCCGGCGAGGCACTGGAGCCTCCCCCTTGAGAGGGAGTCCCTGCCCCGTAGGCCGACAACACCTTCCGGATGGTGCCCGAGGGCGCGCACGCCGGCTTCGACGAGGAGCGCGACGCGCTGCTCGCTCCAGCGGCGCCGGTGTACAGCGACGACGACGGGCCGGCCGACGGGGAGGGGCTGCCGCTCTGCAAGTCGTTCATGCACTTGTACTTGGGCGTGAGGGCGGACGCGATGCCGCCCGACTTGCCTCCGCAGTGGACCGTGGTCAACAGCTGGGACGTGCCGATCGATGCGCCGGGCAACGTGATCGTGGCGAGCCCGCCGCCCCTCGACCCTCGCGAGCCCTCGTGGAGAGCTCCTCGGAGCCCCCCCACCTTTCAGCTGAGCCTACCCCTACCCCACACCCTGCAGGTGAGCGTGCCTTCGATCCTCGACCCGTCCCTCGCGCCGGAGGGGCACCACGTGATCCACGCATACACGGCGGGCGGCGAGCCGCACCAACCCCCGGACGCCGCACACCTCGGCCGCACCTCGGCCGCGCCTTGGCTGCAGGCTGGCAACGAGCCGTACCACATCTGGGAGCGGTTCGAGGGCGTCGACACAAACAAGGTCACCTCGCCTCCGCCCGCGAGGGTGGGGCCCTCTCCCCCTCTCCCCCCTCTCCCGTCCCCTCTCCCCCCTCTCCCGTCCCCTCTCCCCCTCTCCCGTCCCCTCTCCCCCTTCTCCCGTCCCCTCTCCCCCCTCTCCCGTGCCCTCTCCCCCCTCTCCCGTCCCCTCCCCCCCCTCTCCCGTCCCCTCTCCCCCCTCTCCCGTGCCCTCTCCCCCCTCTCCCGCGCGACAGCCCTCTCCCGTCCCCTCTCCCGCGCGACAGCCCTCTCCCGTCCCCTCGACGTGCGGGAGCTGTGCGGCGTCGCTAGACGCGGAGTACCGTCGCCCTCAAGGAGCCCGACCCTGACCAGCCCCGACCCCAGCCCGCTCCCTCGCCCTCGCCCTCTCGCCGCAGGACGCAGCCTACCTCGCCCTCAAAGAGGAGCGCGCCGCCCCGATGTGGGAGGCGATCCGGAGGCGGGTGCCGCGCGTGGAGGAGGGCGTCGTCGTCCGCCAGATCGGCACGCCGCTCACGCACGCGCGCTTCCTCCGCCGCCACCGCGGCAACTACGGCCTCGCCCTCGCAGCGGGCGGCGGCTTCGAGTTCCCAAAGGTGACGACGCCGCTGCCCGGCCTCTTCCGCTGCGGCGACTCGACGACGGCGGGCATCGGCCTCTTCCGCTGCGGCGACTCGACGACGGCGGGCATCGGCGTGCCCGCCGTCGCGAGCAGCGGCGCGCAGTGCGCGAACGCGCTGCTCAGTGTCTGGGAGCAGCTGAAGATGAACGACAAGATCAAGATGCCGAGCAGCGCCGGCGAGCCGCTCCTGCAGCGCCGATGACGGTTAGAGAGTCTAAAGCCGTACGTGAGGTGTTCGCGCGCGATGGAGTGTGCGGTGTTCAGTCGTCATACGTCGCGCGCGCGCAAGAGAGAGTTTAAGCGCGAGCGATATATACACATGTGTGTGCCGAGATGCGACACCGCGCACACTGGCGGAGTGTTTACTGAATTTTTGTCTCTCAAAATCTAACCATCTAACCTACAAACCACTACGTTCTACGTACATTACTTCATCAGCTGGGACTTGCGCACGACGACCGGCCTCTGTCAGCACGAAGCGTCGTAGTGTCGGGTAGTGTCAAGTGACCGAAGTTTTGTTGAGCTCAAAAAAAATTCTTTCGCCAGCACTGACGTGACTGCTGACTCGTACCCCCTCTGGCGCCGCCCGTGTCGCCGCCTCCGGCGCCGCACGTATCGCCTTCGCCTCCTCCCCCCCCGCCGCCGCCATCGCCGCCTCCTCCATTGCCACCTCCCTCGCCGCCTCCCTCGCCGCCTCTCACAGTCCTCGGCCTTGGCGATGACGACGACGACGACAAGAGCACGGTCTTAATCGCTGCGACCGCCGTGGGCGGCCTGCGACCGCTCGTTCGAACGAACATTAGCGTCACAAATATTTAATCCTGTGGGTTGTGTCATCGTGACTGGACTGCGCCTGTGGCCTGCCTGAGCCCAGCCTGATGCCTGAGGCTCTACAGTGAACGAAAGGCACAAAATAAAAAATCCAACCGCCGCCTTTTGCTCAAGGCGTGCTCATACCGTTACCGTGCCGCAATCGAGCTGCAAAAGTGCAACCGCTGCCACGCTTTCAACACCCACGATCCCCTTCATCATGCTGTCCCAGTTTGCTCTCGCGGTGCCGACCCAGCACACACCGCAGCACGCACGTTCCATACCGTCCCTGACGCTCCTCCCCGCTCGTCGCTACAGGCGTCGGGTGCTTTCCCCGTCACCTACAAAAACTGCGGCGTCGAGAACACGCTCCAGGCGACCCCGGAGAAGGTCGTGACCATGAACCAGGGCTCGCTCGAATTCATGCTCTCCATGGGCCTCCAGGACCGCATCGTCGGCACACGTGGCGTCCCCTCCGTCCTCGACCCGATCTGGCCCAAGTACAAAGAGGCGTACGAAGGCATCCCGATCATGACCGGCGCAGATGGGAACTCGTACCCGAGCGACGCGGAGGTGAGGACCGCGAACGCTGACTTCATCTTTGCGGACTGGCGCAGCGCCTTCTCCGAGTACGCCTGGAACAACGACACCATGCGGCAGTGGGCGTCTGTGGGCGAATGCGGCGGTAAGAACTCGGACTTCTGGCCCCTCGGCGAGAACAAGACCTACATCGACAAGGGCCGGGCTCCCGGCTACGAGCGCAAGGGCGAGATCGAGAGCTATTGCCGCCCCCAGCTGCACGCCAACGGCATCGGCACTTTCCTCTCGGCCGTCTCGTGCGAGGACCCGACCCTGCGGGCGAAGCCGACTCAAGAGACACTGTACAAGACAATCAAGACCATGGGCGAGATCTTCAACGTGCCGACCGTGGCCAGCCAGCTCGAAACTGAGATCAAGAGCGACTTCGCCATCGCCCAACAGACGCTGCAGAAGGCCGCCGGCCATTCTCTCACCGCGGTCTGGCTGGACTGCATCTCCTGCTGCCAGGACGAGCCGGAGCTCTCGGTCTTCGTCGGCTCGGGCGGGGGCGCGCCCCAGATGATCATGCAGGAGGCGGGCTTCACCAACCTCTTCAAAGACCGCGAGAACTCCTGGGCGTGCGTCACCGTGGCCGACATCATCAAAGCCGAGCCGGACGTGATGATCGTCGTCGAGGCCGGCTTTGACCCAGCGCTCGACAAGATTGGTGCGCTTGCCGCTTACCGCCCCCCCCACAACCCCCCCCCCTCCCCCCTCCCCTTCCCTTACCTACCTTCCGCCGCACGCTTGAGCCCCCGCGCCTCCCGCCGCCAACGCCCCACGAGCCCCCTCCCCCCGCCCCCTGCTTAACGCAGAGTTCATGCACAACCACGCCGACTTCTGCGACGCGCACTACGTCAAGAACGCCGACTACATCAAGTTCCCGTTCAGCGCCTCGACGGTTGGCCCGCGTGTCGGCGCCGCCGCCCTCGACATGGTCGGCGCGGCCCTCAAGGTGACCACGGGCAACACGCCGATGAACTTCAACTCCGGCGTCGACTTCTTCGACCCGCAGGTGCTTGTGGAACACACGAAGGATCTCCTCTGCCCGCTACCCGCTGATTACTGGAAGGTCAAGCCGAACGACGACTCGGATGGTCTCCCCGCGTGGGCCATCGCCCTGATCGCTGTCTTTAGCTCGCTGTTCGTCCTCGTCCTCGGCGGCGCATGCTACATCGTCCGCCGCGAGAAGCAGGGCAAGCCCATCTTCACCGAGGTTGTCAACGACGCCGCGCAGAAGGCGTGAGTGGAACAAGAGGGCCCTCGCGGCATTCGCATTCGCTGCGGGGCGAGTTGCGAGGGCGGAGGGGGGGGGGGTCTGTTGCATATCCACTTGGGTCGCTGCGTTATATGTACGGTGTCGTTCTCGAGGGGCTCGAGTCTTAGCGAAGCGTCTTTGCTGTAGCCTGTACCGTGGTACGTGGGGTACCCTATGATCGTGTCGCCTGTGGCCTGTCGGTTTGCGCCCCCTGCGGTGTACCAAATACCCTGATGTTCGTGGTGTCCTTACAGTGTGACTCATCACCCAAGAGAGAAAGCGGATACAAATCAATAAGAGAACGCACCCTCTCGCTCATGACGAGCAATTCACGACAGAGTCTGTGGGAACTACATGAAGCAGGCAGCTAGCTGCTAGGCGCGACACACATCGCTTGTTGGCACTTCCCGCGACACGTCCTGTCTATAACTCGCTCAGGCGCCGTCCCCCTAAGCCGTGGGCGAGGCGGCACCTTCCTCACCGCCCACTCCCTCGAGCCCACTCTCCCGCGCTGGAGGTTCGCGCATCCTCTCTGGGCCCACGCGCCGCTCAATACGACCGTCGCCGAAATCGACATCGAATACTCCGAGCGTCGAGCGAGCGCGCTAGGCGGGGGCGACGTCTTCAGCCCGGCTCGCGGGAGCGGCGTCCTCAGCATTGCCCACGCTAGCGGCATCTCCCTCTCCGACTCCGACGCACGCCCGCTCGATGTCGAGCCTTGCCCCGCCTACGTTGCGCCTCTCGCCGGCGACGCCTCTTGCAGCCCGGTCTCCGCCCTTGCACGGCGGATACTGGACAAGGCCGGGGCGACGCCCGAGGACCGCTGCTGCCCCGAAGAGCTGCGGGCGGCGGCGGCCGCCGCGGCCGCCGCAGCCGCCGCGAAGGTCGGCGCCGTCAGTGGAAAAATGCACCTGTGAGCGTCGGCGTGAGTGAGCGGCGGTGTCGGCGGCGTCGATCAACATTTGCGTCCCACAACGCGATTGCGCCTGGCGGCAGGGCGGCAGGGCGAGGGTCAGCGGCAGCGGCGATGAGAAGGGCGATCGTCGGGACAGATGGGCGAGGGCCTTGTAAGGTCGGTAGCCAAAACCGGCTGATCGCATCGTGCAGCAGAACCGGCGCTGTAGTTGTCGTGTGATCGTTCGGAAAGAGAATTTACGGTGATCCGGGTTTCGGTGTCGTCCCACACGATGGCATCACGCTCGCACCTGCCGACCGCCGCCACGGCGGCGAGACGCCTTTTCCGCGACCACGGCGCCGGCCATAGGCCAGCGCTAGGCAGCTGCCGGCCACATCGGGCCGGAATTGCCGGTACCCGTCGCCGCACACTCATACGTCCACGCCGCTGTGACGTCTAGCGACGAGGCGCCGGCCGCCAAGCTTCATCGCCAATGTGGTCGCTCGCTGGTCCTCTCAGCTCGGACACGCGTCGGTCGGTCTAGCTCGCACAAGCTCCAGACAGCCACCGGTCGCCACGCACAAAGCGTACGGGTCGCCGGCTCCCTGTTATGCTCTCACGCTGGCCGGCGTAAAACTGTGCTGGCAGTTGTCATGCCGTACCCGTCGCGTTTCGAAAGGGAGCCCTCGATCGACCCCTCTACACGCACTGCGCCAACGCTCTCCACAACTGCTACCGTGGACATCAAGCTCCTCGACTCGATCTGCGGCTACGACGGCGCTCTAGCTGCTGGCTCTCGCGGGTGTCTGGCGACCCGCTCCGGCTTGCGAAACGGCCGGCCGCGGCGACGTGTTTCGAGCTCGGTGGTCTTCTCCGCGCGGCTGGGCCCGCTACTATATAGGACCGATCCGCCCCCTCGCTGGCCGGCTCGTCCGCCGTCCCTACGGGATGTGAGGGGCCGCTGGAGTCAATGCTGACCCACCGAGATTTCGATGTTGCCCACCGATACCCTAAGAGCGGCGGAGCGGAGGGGCAGCCGGGTGGGGAGGTTGCGGGCGAGGCGGAGCAGGCGGCAGAGCAGGCGGCAGAGCAGGCGGCAGAGCAGGCGGCAGAGCAGGCGGCAGAGCAGGCGGCTGAGCAGGTGGCTGAGGCGGCGACAGAGGCGGTGGCAGAGGCGGTGGCAGAGCCAGCGGCAGAGCCAGTGGAGGCGGTGGCAGAGGCGGCACAGGCCGTCGCGACGATCTCGCTCGCCGACGCCGCCTTTGACACGGGGCGACCTGTGCCCGAGTCCACCCTCGGCGGCGAGACGACGTGCATCGTTTGCTTCTCTATGCCGAAGAGCCACGCGTGCGTGCCGTGTGGGCACCTCTCGGCATGCGAGGCATGCTCGGCGCGCATGCTGCATTGTCCGGTGTGTAGGGCGGAGGCGGTCATGTGGATGAAGATTGTATCGGTTTGAGAGTAGTCAGTGGGCGATCTCGTTTGGTGAAAAAAATGTTTCTTGTTCGGCGCCAACTCCCCTTTTTCACTTTTTCCTTTTCCTCATCAGTACCCCCGTGAGCCTGTCACGCCAGAGCCGGTGTGTGTGCCAGCCCGAGCACATCCCCGCACGGATATCGCACAGGCTCTGTCGCCCTGGCGGCACGTGACGAGCTCCGATGCTTGTCCTGGCCGCATGGCTGGGGCTGGCTGAGGCAAAGGCCCCCACTGCAGCAGAGCTAGGGCTGCCCGCGGGCTGGGTCGGCGGCTACGCCCCTGGATCGGATGTGCAGGCGGAAACTGCGCTTCGCGCTTCCGACTTCGACCGAGTCAAGCAGCTGAGAAATTTACGTGGGCGGCAGCTCTCGGCAGTCTCACAACTATCCTCGTCCTCGCTCGTCGTCTCGGTCAAGACGCAGAACGGCTTCTTCTCCATCGGCGACGACATCGGCGCCTTGAAGTGCGCCCGCCGCGGCGCTCCTCAACACTCCCGCGCCCACCTCAGTGAGCTCCCTCCCCCCGCGCAGCCCGCACGACTACCGGCCCAACGAGTTTGTCACCAACGACTTCATCTTCGAGGGCCTCGTCGCGTGGGACGGCAAAGACCCCACCGGCCTAGACAACCTCGCGGGCACCGAAGGTGTGGCCTTGCGCTGTCCACATCACTGCACTCCTCCACCATCATTCACCTCCCCCCCCCCCCAAAAAAAAAACAACCTGCGGGTTTTCGGCGGCTTTTTACCCGGTTGCAGCCCTTCCCCCCCCCCCTTCCCTTTGTCCACCCCCCCCCCCCCCCCTTTCCCCCTCTCCCCCTCAGACGACTATGTCGGCCCCTCGCTGGCAACCAGCTGGACAACCGCCTTCAACCAGACCGGCCAGGGCCACTACGTCATCACCTTTACGCTCCGCACGGGCGTCAGCTTCCATGACGGCACCCCTTGGAACGCCGCCGCGGCGATGGCCAACTTCAACCAGATCATGGGCGGAGTCGGCGTCCTCGGCTTCCCCAAGGCGCTGGCCGGGATGCACGACTGGCTCGGCTTCACCCAGTTCCTCGACGCGTGGGAGGCGGTCGACGAGATGACCTTCTCGCTCACCTTCACCTCCTACTACGAGGCGGCGCTCCGCGAGCTCTCGACCATCCGCCCCTTCCGCATGAGCTCGGTCGCCGCCCTCCCCTCGCTGGAGCACCGCGGGATCTCGCACGTCGCCGAAAAGAACGGCCTGCGGAACGGCGGGACGTGGCCCAACAAGTGCGCGAAGCAGGCGCACTACGTGGTGGGCAAGACCGGCATCCCGGGCTCCACCGACCCCACGGCCGGCAGCACGGGCTGGGCGCTGACCTCTCTCGGCGTCGGCGAGAAGCTCTTCACCGTGGACCGGTACGGCTTCATTGTCGGCCAGGCCTGAGACCCGCCCACCTCTCTCACCGCCCGGTGTTTCTCTTCCGCGATCCGCGCCCTCCTCTCTCCGCGGCACAGGTGGCGGAGTCTGTGACCCGCCCGGTGAGCGACAACTACAACGTCTGGACCGTGACGCTGAAGCCCAACTACCACTTCTCCGACGGCACTCGCGTCACCGCCGAGCTCGTCGCCACGTGCCTGCAGGAGCTGAACGACAAGGACTCATCTTCGGGCAAGGCGCGGGCGTCGGTAGGAGTCATGACGGTGACGGCCGTGAGTGAGCTCGTGGTGAAGATCGATTCCGAGCGCCCCACCCACATCATGGACTCCGTCCTCGCCGAGTGGATCTTTACCATCTACTACAAGAAGGGGGGCGAGTACATCTTCACGGGGCCGTACGCCGTCGACAACTTCGACAGCGACCACTTCTACTTGATCCCGAACCTGTACTACCCTCTCGCGGAGCAGCGCCCCGCGCTCACGATCACCAAGTACGGCAACGGGAGTGCTCTGGCTGCGGCCGCCATCGACGGCAAGGTCGACGTCGGCTTCCACCTTGCTCCCGAGAGCATCACGGCCGTGAACAGCGCGAAAGGTGTGAGCGTCACGTCGTTCGAGGTCGAGTACCAGTACATGATGTTCCACAACACCGACATGCCGCAGTTGGCGGACGTGCGCGTGCGCAAGGCGATCGACGTCTCGATCGACCGCATCGCCTTTCCGACCGAGCTCCCTGGCGCTCTCCCCACGCGCAGCATGTTTCCGGAGGCCTCACCTTACTACTCGGACGGCTCCAACATGGCCGCGAACACGAGCACGGCCGCTGAGCTGCTGGAGCAGGCAGGGTGGGCCCTCACGGGCGGCAAGCGCACCAAGGACGGTACTGACCTCGCCATCAAGCTGGTCGCCTACCCGCAGCGCCCGGGCCTCGTGACGTTGCAGCCACTGATTGCGCAGTCGCTGACGGACCTGGGCATCACCGTGACCTCGGTCGTGACAAGCGGCGAGAGCTGGAATGAGCTTGACACTCTCATGGCGGCCGGGGAGTACGACCTCCTCATGTGGGCCCAGCACACGCTGCCGGCCGGCGATCCCGGCTCCTTCCTCAACGGCTTCTTCCGCACCAACGCGTCAGGAAACCACGCCCACTGGAGCTCCTCCTCTGTCGACTCCATGCTGGACGCTCTGAACGCGATCACGGACAAGCACGC